CAGTCTGTGAGTCACGTGCAGAGAAGCTTCCTCTACCACTGTGACACGGTGGTAGCGGCTATCACCAGCAGCGGTGATAGCTTTATCACCATGTCGGTGATGCCCGCTATTTCCACTCGCGCGGTGATAACGGCTATCACCCAGTTTCTTAGAGTGTACATAACCATTTAATCGGACAAAAAAGCAAAAATATTATTTTCCGTTTACTTAAATAATGAAAAGACCTTCACAAATTATTTTCTATTTCAAAGAATCGAAACTAGTATGAAGCTGAAGCAAAATTAGCTTATAGTGCACATAAATACCTCCAAAATCTTTTTCGGCATTATTATTTTGAGAAGGTTAAATTTTGCCACTGATTTCCTTAATTTTGTTGACGGATTTAGCTAGGATCTTTGACCTAACAATAAGGAATACATAAGAGATATCAATTCTAAAGAGCAGTTTAGTTGTTTTGTTAAGTTAAAATTTCTACATAGAAGAACTTAGGAACAATAACGACGCCTACTCTCCTGTTGCCCAATGACTTCTTTGTCAATTTGAGAATAAATATATAACTCCATATATGTAGGGTTAATTTTGCTATTCTGGTCAAACCAAAACTGAGCAAGTTAGTTGCGAGAAGGATTTTCGTTATTTATGTAATTTTATTTTCGAAACGTACTTGTTTAGCGTGCATAAAACGTTTGGTTTAAAAAATTGGTCAAGCCATGCGAAGAAGTTCCCTTCAGAAGTCGAACATCTCATAAAATTTTTTTCCGTAGGAAACTTGCAACGCAGAAAAAATATACATGAAGTTGAATTATCCGGACATAGTGTTTCTCGTTCTACAGAGTCTTGGGTATCTAATTCGGTTGGAATTGTTTGATAACCTAAATTAGCAGGACTGTCATCCAGCTAATTTACTCTAAGGTAACATTCCATCAGAAAAGTAACGCGTAGCGTTTCTCGAAAAATCGACGCTCTGACAAGCCAGAAAACACTCAGACCCAAACTCAAAGTAGAAAAAGTTGTTAAAATATGTCAGCTGCATGTGAGTTGGGTCACCAAGTACAAAGTTCAAAAACAATGTCAAAAAGGGCCAAATTTAATGCGAAAAATAACTTTACCATGAAAATCTCTCGCTTTGAAGTTCAAAAAACTTACATAGGTAGGTATATAATGTATGTAAATATATCAGAAATCGGTGCGTTTTCCAGAATGCGCATGCTTTCGTCCGTGGACAAATTTTCAAACTAAAATTTTCAAAATGCAGTAACTTTTCGAGTTTCCCGATTTCAAAAATTAATGACAATTTTTCTCAGACTTCCCTGAAGTTGTAGAAATTCGGTCTTTAAAATTTGAGATTTGAATGCTATTTATTACGAGTTTAGAAAAATGTAAAAAACTACAAATTTTTGTAAATTAAAAGTTTCTTGAAAATTAATTTTTAAAATTTCAGGGGAGTAAATTGTGAGAAAAGTCGTACTCAACTTTTGAAACCGGGTTGAAACTCGATAAGTTAAAGCATTTTAAAAAATCCAGGTTTGGATGAAATTTGTTTCCAAATTAATCCGAATCCGAATCCTAAATTAGGCGGATTGGATACATTCGAATCCTACCACGAATCCAGCGTTTCTGCTCGAATACGACCAACAAAAACAAATACAACAAGTCCTTCATTAATGCACAATATCCGCATAGTTTTATATTCAGGGTTTTGTTTTACCCGTCCAAAACAATTTTTGCTCCCGGCTAGTGGAAAAAACGGGAGAATATTTGTTACCATTTTTAAAATTTCGAAAATCTTAGTTTTAAATTAGTTGTTTCGGATTGCCCAAAACAGAGTTGCTTCCATTTTCCGTGTTTTCTATATCTCAATTTTGTTGTTGTACAGCCGTTCTGGCTCGATCCTCCGTGTCCAAAAAGCCCTGTTTTGATGGGCATTGAGCGTGCTCGCGCTCTTCCCTACTTTTGCACGGAGTCATGTAAAATTTTAAACTTTGTCCTAGAGACGCGAAATTTGGCATGCACATGCACCAACATATGTTGCATCATAATATAACATCAATTCCCGTTCCGTTCGCTATAAATTTTTGCAGGAAAAATCAAAAACCACATTGAATAGGAGAGACATTTCGTTTTTGATTTTTCCTGAAAAATACCTGTAACTTTAATATTTAACGAGATAATTACTTGAAGATAGTGCTGGTATAACAGTAACTCTCAAAACAACTTTGTAAAGTTTTGAGCAAGATTTTTTCGCACCAATTACCGAGAAAATTGGCCAAATATAATGCTGGTATCACAGTCGATTTTTTTTTACTTTGAATAAAGTTTTGTACCAAAAATATTATGTGTGATACCTTATGTATCCATATATATATGTATCCATATACATATGTATATGTATCCATTGTTAAAACTTATCCGGCAACTTCAGAATGCCTAAAGCTCGACCTAAATTTAAACCCTGATCGAAACCCTGATTATATTATGAGGCGAGATGAAAATCAGATGTGAGACCAAATGTGAGATGTAAAATTTTCGGAAACACTGCGTAGTCTTCGACCAATTTCAAATTTATAATAAATTATGCGTTGAACAACGTATCGGAAACAATACAAACACTTTTGTTTTAGCCGATTAATTGATTTGTTGAAGTTGTGAATCAGATTCGAATCACTACGAATCCGAATCCTGGTTTCAGGGGATTCGATCCATTCGAATCCAAATCCAAATCCCCCTCCTCGAGAGTCGGATCAGTGCGAATTCTGATTCGAACGAATCCAAATCCGAGAAAAATTGGATTACATAATGCGGAGCACTGGCTATAACCCCTCAATAAAGTTAGAATCAATAAATACATTCTGTAGTTTTTTTAATACGCCATAAATACAGCATGTGACAGTAATACAGTCTGTAACAGCATGTTACTAATACGTAAAAGACTCTAACTTATGCTATAAACAAAAATGACACTAACAAGGCATCAAAAAGGTATGAAAAATAGCATAGAGGGATGAAAAATAGCGAAAAGGCAAACTTTTTGCACACACTGTTTATGTCCCGAATAGTATGAAATTATACTTTGCAATGGCATAGGTTCGCCAGCGCCGAAGGCGCGAGCGGCTTGGAAAACTTTTTTGAGGTTGTCCCCCCGGCCAAAATCATCTTCCGCCGCGCCTGTCGATCCAACGGTTTGCAATTATTTACTATTTACGTGGTTCCTCGTTCTTACATATGTCCTCGGAATCCATGCATTCTTCTTCAAACTCTTCCTTGTTGTTTTGCACTCAAGTTCTAACTCGGTTTATTGCTCAGTCTTGGCAGACTGATTTGTGGCCACTGGCCAAAATTCTAATTGCTCTTTAATCCTACTTACATTATGCAAGAATCTCGCCGTTCTTTCTTTCAGTACTCACGTCAGCCCCTTATTTAGCATGGTAACTTATTCTGCAAAATTGTGCGTACTTTTTTTAGTAGAGTATTTTTTATTAATGAGAATATTCCCATTTGCTGGGCAAGGTTCGGATAAAAACTCATTAGTTTTTTCAGCAAAGGTTTGCAAAAAATCACGCAAACTCGCAAGCTTCTCAATATGTGTCAAATTCGCGAGAAATGCGAGATTTGACGTGAGTACGCAATACTCAGGACGGTCATAGTTTCTACATAAATGCTTTAAGAAACTAAATAGTAAAACTGACGGAATTGTTTGATAGTTAATTCACCACTGTTTGCCTCAAATATTCGGTTTACTCCGTTTCTTAATTACTTCATTTGTGTGTCTCATTACTGACAAAGAGTTACATATAATTAGTCGTCATTCTTAAGTAAATAGGTTACTCGTTTACACTCACAATGGAGGTCTCCCAATGTATGCTCACAGATTTGGACCAAACTACACTCAAAACAAAACGGTGTCAATATATGACTTAACCGCCTTGGTTACAATTGTGATTCCGAGTAGTAATGAATTTTTTCCGTCCGGTCATAAAATTATAACCACCGGTATCAAAATCATCATAACTCGGGTTCAACATTGTAACCAAGGCGGTTAAGTCATATATTGACACCGGCGGTGTTGATTCGACAAATTTTTATTTTGAGTGTAGCGTCAATCGATCACAAATATAATTAGTAGGAAATTTGCAAATGGGACTATCTGCCAAAGGCCAACCTTATCGGAGATATTTGCATAAAAAAGAAGGCCACGCACCACCAAGGCTTGGCAAATGTTACATGTTCAAAATTTGCTGCATGTTTTTCCCGCTTTGAGTGCAAATATCCGCCAAACCTTCGCAGTGGGAGATAGTTCCATTCGCAAGTTTTATACTCTTACATTTGTGATCGGTTGTCACTACTTTGGTCCAAATCTGTGAGCATACGTTGGGAGACCTCCATTGTCAGCAAGGTTTTGGTCCAACGCATTACATTTCATTGTCAAGCGAAACCTCAAAATTTAGAATGAACTGAAATATCCCAACCACTACAGATTTAGTCGTTGAGTTGATTTCTTCCGCAATCTTCGTGCTGAAGCTGTTGCTCCAACATCTCTCTCTTTCCATTTAAAAGTTGAACTTTTAAATTAATTAGTAAAAAAAACTTGTCCATACTTATCTATCTGAACAATAACGTTGGATTAGGTGACTCATCGCCTGTGACGTCAGTGGTTACAAATCTGCACATTTCCCCGTTCTGGGATTTTATTTAAAAATGTAATCAAGTCATTTTGTAGTCAATAAGCTAATTATGTAATAGGATGGCAATGAGTTTTTTAAAGATGATAAGCCAAATCAATTTACCTACACCGAATTTTTCTGAAGGTCCTCCCTCTTTTTGGGTCCCTTATTTCAAAACCTTTTAAAATCTAGAGTGCAAATTTATAAATTGGTACTGACTAGCTGAACAAAATAACGTGACAGAATTTTTAAATAAAATCCCACAACAGAGAAATGTGCAGATTTGTAAGGACTGACGACACAGGCGATGAGTCACCTAATCCAGCATTAAACGCAGACATGGGGAAATCCCACATTCTGGAGAAACCATTTACCCCAGAAGAGCTGGAAAAGTTCAAAGGGATCCTGCAAAGTCTCCCATCCTACAAAGACGGTACAATCCACAATTCTGAATATATCATATTCTGCAACGCAGCCGGTATTCCGACCACACCTGAACAAGCCGAAGCGTACAAAAATTACTTCCGTGTCCCGTACGGAGATGAACTAGCTCGGGTCAGCGATATCATAAAAGTGTTCGAAAGCCTGCACGATATCCAAGCCTACTGCCTCACCGTTGCCAAGCATTTCGACAAGAATGGCGACGGACTTATCTCAGCGGATGAGTACGAAGCTGGCGTTGCAGCGATGAAAGCCTTCGACCCAGGCCTGTTTGGGGAAAAGGGGAAATTCAAGTTTGACGAATTAATAAAAAAAGCGGATACAAATAAGGATGGGAAATTACAAGTTGAAGAGTTGGCTGCCTGGTTTTCAACTATGTAAAGGAAAACTGCGGTTTGAAACCGCTTAATTGAAATTGTGAAAGTAAAAACGTGAATTAAAATAATCAGAGTAATAAAGTCCTTTTGGGGTTTAACAAAATTAAATAACTTAAGGTAAGCATTGGCCAACTCAATGGCACACTTATTTTGAAAACCTTGAAACCAGTATGGCAAATAAATATGGCAAAATGTCCTGATCCTCGTAAAATTTAGGCGCAGCGCGAGTTCAATATAAGTATTTCCTATACATCTACATTCTAGCGGTACACGCGGAATCCTTTTGGCAGAGGCAAAAAATTTCCCTGGATTTTTGCAATGGATTTTCCCGAAAAACTGCAAATTTTTTCTAAACTTGTTGTTTATCTGCACACCTTCACAACAAGCTCGATGGTACGTTGGAAATGCAAATTCTCTAAACCACCTCTCCCCTCCCCTTCAGTCGTTACATTATTTAAGAACCGCACTCTATTCTAGAAAAATTTAGTGGAGTAGCGATTAATTTTATGCTAACTTTTAAATAAAATTCGGCAATACATTTACATTTGCGATTTTGTAATTATGTAAGTAGTTATTAAGTAATTGCGCAATAATTGTAATTTTGCTGGTCAACTGATTAATGTAGATGCCAATTGAGTAATTAATTACTTGCTAACGTGAAGTTGTAGTTTGTCATTACTAATACATGATTAGTAATCAATTATAAACTCAAATTCAGTTCGTAATTTATTAATTTATTTAGTTACAAAATTAATTAAGAAATAGTGTTTAAAGTACGCATAATGGGATTGATAAATAAAGCAAATGAATACAGATATTATTTCTACCCTTGCCCATTTTAATGTTCTTTTTAAATATTTACCGACATGGCCCGCAATTTATAAGACGGAATTAAATTATCCACCCCCCGAACATTATGGATCTTACCCCCTACATTGTGCCCTCACTGGTATTTGCCCCCAGCTTAATACTTTTTTACACTATCGATAGGATAATATTTGCAAATTTTAGACACTCTGACTTGCAGATCGATACAGGGGAGTTTCAAAAATTGTGACATTTTGACTAATTTAATTAATTAAAAGTAATTAAAGAGCTGCCCTAGGTTAAACAAGTGGTACCAGATTAACAGATTTCTTTCCTTTTGCCAGATGAATACTAATTTTATTGTTCGGTCCAGATATTTTGCTTATACTGACCAACTTGACAATTAACACTGCTTGCACATTTGATTGTGGTTTTTGTTTCATATCTTTAACCGTTTTCTAAACTACTGAAATTTATTTTACCACAATCCCCAGAAAATGAATTGTTGCGTAACATGCATATCGGAAGGTGGTGAATTAACTAAATATGTAAGGGCAATTACATTTTTTGCAATGTCGAATCAGGCCGAACGTAAGAGGAAAAATATTTAAAATTATTTACGATTTATTTTTTATACGTTGAATTACAAGCTTTTAAAATTTTAATTGGACACAATTTGCTCCAATTAATAATGGATATGCCGATATTTTTTAAAGAATAGTTCGAGTGAACCTTAATTACCGTCGTTGATATTACAAACAGTAAGATCAACGACGGTAATTAAGCAGACTCGTGTGCAACGCCACAGTAAAATATTTTGATTATTAAATCAAAATTTTATTGCTTCGTTGCACATGAGCCTGCTTAATCGCTTTAATATGCGAAATGATATGTAATCAAAATAATTTGATCCACTGGCTTGCTTTTAGCATTTAATTCCTATGTAGGACGGCCGCCGACTTTAATTGTTTCCAGAGCCTGAATTCCAGGAATTGTGGCATAAAAAACAAATTCGGCACGTCATATTGTGTAATTTGTTTAGTAGTGAATGGTTCAATAAAATGTTACCTAACATAATAGGTAGGTTGCGAGTTTACGGGTTTTCACGTCAACGCTAACCTAAACGTAAAATTTGGCGTTAACGTTTACGTTTACGGGATGCACGAATTTCGTGTGTGCGAATTAACGTGAACGTAAACTTGTGCGCTGAATTTGAATTTAATTTCATTGGTTTGTTTACATTCTGCATGCAATATTTGCTCATTATGATTAATTAATTTATCTAATAATAGTAAATTTATTATTAATAAATTTACTGTTGGTATTGACCGACATCGAAATAGAGGACATTCTTCCTTCAAAAAATTGAAATTAATCAATTAAAAGAATTAAAATTTTTAAATTAAACTCAATGGTGCAAAAGTTCTTTTTCCTTAACTTTGGATTTTACAAAAATAGGTTTGAAACTTAAATGCGCCTTTAAACTTCGGGGCACGATTGCTTGTCATCGAGGACCCTTTGTGCATTACTCTGAGGATTGCATATCCCAGCAGGTAAGGGGACCATATTTTATCAATCTAGAGCAAATCAGTTAATCAGTTCACTAAAGCAGTTAATTATTTCATTAACAGATATGTCGACTTGATGTTACTTTTTCCTCTTGCTCATTGCAGCCACGGATTTTTCACGGCAGCCAAACTTCGGATAACTTTTGTGAAGCAATACCAGATCTTGAGCATTTACATTTTCCATGAAAGTGTGTGTATAAGAAATCTAGGCCATGCACTAAGCCTTTATTCTTGTAATGTATAAACAATAAATTTACTTGTTTCTAATTAAATCAAATGAATCATTTGAAATGATGCTTTTGTTATTGCAGCTCCTCATTTTGTGCAATATCATTCACTTTCAATACTTCCTTTCCTCCATCCAAGCTTGACGTTGTTTTAATAAGTAGTACTATAATAAATTACATAACTACTAATTAATTTCTTAATTTGCAACTTGCTACAAAAGGAACAGAAGATTTATTTAGTTAGTTTAACGTGAAGCCGCATCATTTTCTAATCCTGTCATGAGAAATTATCAGTTTACTTCTTGTTTTAATGCTTCACAATTAATTATATAGCACTTTAATTAAGTATAAAGATATATCTAATGCATTTATCAATAATTAACGCAAAAAATACATGCCTGTTGTTCATTTTTCTTAAATTTGCATGGCGAAAAACCTTTACGTAAATCTACATAAACGCACGCTACGTGAGCTGATTTAACGTCCAAAATAACATGAACGTAAACTAATTTCACGTAAACCTTAAATGGGCGCCGCCGAAAATTGCCGGGAAGCAAAATTGAGAAATTTCTCACGTTCACGTAAACTCGCAACCTATCTAATGCACCATAATGCAGCTGGCAAATCAAGTGGACATGAAGGTTAAGCTGGATTTGTGAAGATAAGGAACATTTGCCCAACCAGACTGGTGGTAAAGGTGGATATAAATAGGAATTTCCCCGCGACATAATCGGCAGTATCGAAAGTATCGGCACAGAATCTATTCTACAGAGCGGTCAACATACACAAATTTGGAACATGAAAGTCTGCCGACTGGTGGGGGTATTTTGTCTGGCATTCATACCCGGGTGCGTGACAGGCAATGGGGCTTCCATTGGTAAGCTAAGCTTTTAAGGTCAGGGTGTCCTTCAACAACCAGTAGACACAAAGTACCCCGGCATTACAGAATAAAACCTATGTTTTGCCAACAGACAGCTATGGGGATCCCAGGGATGATATCCATGATATCCACAAAATTGGAGCAAAGGTGTGGAAACCTTCATTCAGCAGTTGTATAAATATCGTATTTTTCAAAAATTCTGCGGAGTAAATCTTTTCAAATACACATTTTTCATGCTTTCAAATATTTTGCCTACTTACATACAAGTTGTTGATATTTGCTAATTTTTTTGAAAAATTTCTTCGTCATCAAATTATGTACATATATTAGGATAAACTTTTTATTTCTAAATGTCAGGAATGTCAGAACGGGTTTTATGCCTGTAAGTCTTAATACGGGTTTTATACCTGTCTCCTCCTAACCCGTTTTCCACCGTCCCGGATAATGAAGTTTCATTTTGTAACCCACACACCAAATTCCATTAAATATACTCATGTCCAGAAATTTTATTTTGTCACTACAATACTACCAAAATCCTAAAATATATTTGTAACATATAGGTATTTTCAAATTCAAAAATCTTGCTCACTAAATATAGGTCGCTGGTATACCAACGTGGCCAAATCGCGTCATTCCCTACGAAATCGGTCCAGATTTTGACTCTCTAGACTTGTCCAGGATAGACATTGCCATTCAGGATTACCATACAAAAACTTGTATCACCTGGAAACGCCGTACGACGGAATCCGACTATGTTCAATTTTTCCGAAACGTATCCGGATGCGCATACTCGCAAACGCTCGGGTTCCGTAACGGAAAGAGCCTCATGGTGTTTGAAAATTGTCGCGGCATCAACACTTTCATCCATGAAATGTGCCACGTCGCTGGACTAGGTCACACACAAGGACGTTCTGATCGGGATGATTTCGTCTATCAGAAAGGAGCAAATTGCGGTGGCCTGGGAGGCAAGTCAGACTACGCACCTTACCTCCATCTCTACAACTATTTAAGCGTGATGCACTATGGCTGTGACGATTGCCTGTCACCCAAGTTAGCTGGTGTCCCATATTGCGGCCAATATTTTGAGGGAGGTGGACTAAGCGTTTTGGACGCAGAGAACTTAAATGACTTGTACCAGTGCTCAGGTATATCTTGCAAATTTTGCTAATGAATGTAGAAAAGTAATTTTAAAATTTTGATTTCAGCTTCTGAAACGATCCCATCGTTTCCGGGTGCCATCGCAACTAGACCAATACACAGCATTTCAGTTTCCCATGAACCCATCGAACCCAAGCTCTGAGACAAACGCCATCTGTCGGGGGTATGTCAATGGAAGCATCCTCGTTGGGCAAGCTCGTGGGACCCTAGAAAGCTGTTGGTTACCTAACCCCGATAATGGCAGAGAGCAAGGGATGTCCGCGGTTGGATATGAAATACTGGAAAACTTTTCGAATGCTTTGTGGATGACCACGTCTGAAGCAATAGGTGGCGGTGGGACCTTGTCTTCCTACGTAGTTGCTGGAGGTCGTACAAAGTTTCATGAAACTGTGTATGTTGGATTATGCCCTAACCTTTTGACTGATTGGGGTTCCGTCGGTAGGAGAGTTGGCTCAGTTTTTGCCAGTAAGCTGAATGAGGTAGTGGTCTCCTACGGGTTTAAAGTTTTTCGGTGTCCGAATCCACTCGTCCTGTATGTTTTGAACGGGTTGGGTATTGGCATAGGGGAGTAACAACTTACAGGACATTTCAATTTACAAAATTATTAATTTGTTCCACTGCTTACAATGATAAATGAGTCATTAATAATTGAAATCCTAGAGCAAGTGTCCTCCCTGACCATAATTTATCCTGCATAAGCTTATGGTTCATCTATTAAAAATGCGTCAAAGATTGTTTGGTGCACGCTGTAATTCTTATGAATTTTGAGTTTGAGCCGTTCTTGCAATACTTCACATCGTTCCAAACCTAATAACGTTTTTGAAAACTTTGAAACTTTGCTGGTAAAAAAACGGGGATTTGCGTTTTTCAGACAACCTGCTCATATTTACACCATCGTGATGACTTCTTATTAACTTCGGCATACTTAAATGAATGTCAGACTTCCGTAGAGCAACGATCTGGTCATTGTTTAGTTTTAAACTTTTCTCCAATGGGGAAAAGTGTGGAACACTTTACTCATGAAAACGACGCGTGCTGCGGTCGAGCAGTGGCCGTCACGAGTTTTGTCTTGCGTGCAAGCCTGTGTACGAAATCTTGAAAAGGGCGTTATGATTTCTAAACAATACCTTGTTCATCCATAAAAATTTCTAACAAATAGCTCTAATACTTTTTGATTTATCAAAAAGAAATGCATTTGTGGGAACTTCTGGCCCGAGTATGTAGGTACTTAACTAAATACGTGTTTGGAGCACAGCTAAAAGATTAATATTAATCTTTTAGCTATTTTAGCTATTTTTAACCCTGCTTAAAAAAAACTAATTGGGGGAAGTGCTATATAATTTCCTCCCAACTGAATTGTGTCCATTTAATCAATTTTATCGCCCCAACTATTTAATCCTTAAGAGTTTTCAAATGAATAAACGTTTGACGCAAATGACACGTAAAACTTGTCAGCAAGAGTGGCACAACTACACATTTATAAAAATTAAAGGAGACGCAATTGTACTCCGCAGCAACGCATCACTTTTGCATGTCATATCCAATTGTCGCGAAAATTTAGTGTACACGATTATAATAAGGTTTCTCGGTTAAATCAAGGAAACAGTATTTTATCGCGATTTTAGCTCCTACAAGTTAAATATCAACCTCGAAAAAGTATTGGCAACATGGATTTACGTAATTTAAATTTGCGAAATTATTCTACCGTTTTCCATTCACAGTTGATTTTTCTTGGATAAATCAATCCAGGATAATAATAATAGGTAATAATGGATTATTATTAAGGCACCAAGGAAAATACTGAAAAGTACCCAGTAAAGTATTTAAAATCAACAATACTGAATGTTGCCCAGACAAATTGCAAAGACGTCCAAGGAGGATGGACACAAAAGTATTGCGAATTTCTCAATTTTTGGGATATTTTCCAATCTCAATCACCCCTGGGAGTCGGTCAGTTTGGACGAGAAAAATTCTCCCCGTTCTGCCATCCCTGTTCTTCTGTTTGCTTGGATTTGGCAACATATTTATGTTCCTCTCTCAGGCACAAGGAGTCAAAAACCAGCAAAAAAGTCAGGAAAAGGATAATCACCCTCTATTTTCGAGCACCATGTATTCCACCGTCTACCTTAAGGTTCACATGGGTGACGCGTTGACACGTAATCTCACTCTATCCTTATCCAATGTCTTCAAATACAATTTCTAAAACGAATCAACTCCATGGGTTTGGAGATAAATTAACTTTTAAAATTTTAATCTAAACCTAATTTTTGATACTACAAACATATTGGGGGAACTCACGTCAAAGTTTGTAACCTTCGTAACTGCGTAATGTTTGTAAGCTTACAAACTTTTACACACATTTCTAAGGAAAATTGACTTACGATCTTTTACGAAACTTACGCACTTCAAACGCATGTTTTTGGTTCGTAAACAAAAGTTCGTAAATAATTAGACTTTTTGATATTTGAATTTTCGGTTGAATTTATCTTGGAAACGAATTATCAACTGTACATTTTTTGTGATCCGGTGAATATGCATTGACGACAAATTAATTTTTCGACAAAAAATTGCTGCCACCCGAAAATATTGGTCGCTATCCGCCCGGCCCCCAAATCCGGATTAAATTGCCACACTCCATCCATCGATCGGTCTTGATCATACGATCATTTGGGTATCTTATAGAATTTTGCGACATAAGAAATGGCTGTGTAATTCCTGCAAAACTGATATTTTAAGCAAAAAATTCAACATAATTAAGCTAATCCTAAGGTATTGGCTAGCAACATTTTGATGTCGTTTTATGTACGACATTTTTTTAACCAAAAAATGTTTATGAAAATGTTTGCAAAGTAAACTCACGTGAAAGTGTGAAAACTTACAAACCTAACGCAGTTACCTATGTAGGTTACGAACTGGACATGAAATCCCTCATTTATTTGCAAAAAAATAGCGAATTCATTTGCGAAGAAATTTAGTATGTAAGAATTGCTAACTAATCGACTAATTTTTCTTAAATCAACTTGTTTCTAGTACCAAAAATTGGATTTACATTAAAATTTTAAAAGTTGCATGTATCTCTGAACTGTGGAGTTGATTCAATTTTAGAAATTTGAATTGGGGACATTGTACCTAGTCGGGTACGAAATTCTTTGATAAACATTTTTTACTGCAGAAACGGGTAAGAGTTTTTAATTAAAATTTTCCACACGGATGCATAATGTACCTGTGTATAATATAAAAATACTAAATATCCAAATTTCCTCTTCTGGAGCACACACACTTACAAAATCTGATGGTAAACTGATCGCCTGGATTACGCACACTTTACTGTGGAAACTTATCCAAGCTTTGAGCAAATTTAACAAGGAAAATTGCAGAATTTGCACTAAGCAAAAATCATACATACCCCTGGCAAATACAAAACTCTCATCCCCCTAAGTCTTTGATGGTTTGGATTTGAATTAATCTCCTGGAAAAAGCGAAACCCCGTTTTTTCTCTAGAAAGGGTTGCAGCGCAAGCCAAGAATTACATTACCAAAGTTGCAAAACTTAGTGTAAAACCTTTGAAGTCCGGCCTATTGAAAAATAGAAACTGAATTTCTTAAAAGGTAACGGCTCAGCCATATTGTGCAAAAATTGTCCAAAATTGACTATGATCTCATTTCATCGATTTTATTTGGTCACAAAAATTCTATTGGTAATAGCAGACCTTAATCATCTGGATTATGACTTGCGGCTTAAAATTAGGACCATGGCCTGCTCTAAAACTTCCACTGGTGCAGAAGTTCTCGAATTTTGTTTCTCAACGCTTGTGACCATTTTCCGGTAGAAACCGCGCGTGCTCCAAGCGACCGGCCGTCATCAGATTTCTCAAGCGTGTGTACTCCAGGAGAGGAAATTTGGAAACTTTTATTATTATATAGTATTTTTAAATTATACACAGGTATATTATGCATCCATATGGAAAATTTTAATTAAAAATTCTTACCCGTTATTTTTCTGCAGTAAGAAACGTTTATCAAAGAATTTCGTACCCGACTAGGTAGATATACAATGTCGATGTAGGGGTTTGGTGAGATTACGCGCCAACCCGTCATCCATGGGAACCTTAAGGCGGCCGCCCACATTTGCACGGTTGTCTTCGTTCGAGTCGGGATTTTCATACGGTGCGAAAAATTGCGTGGGTTCTATGACGAATTTACCACTTTGGTAGGACAGGCTTCAATATTTTTGAATAGTGCGAGTGCTTCGGATGCGACGAAAATCGGCTCTGTACTCCGGAATAGGTTTGAGGGTGGATTTAGTTTGGAGGTGGTTACACTTGTTTGTGTCTGCCTTGCCTCAATTGGGGACATGTGGGACAGATATTTCTCCAATCCAGGTACACACATTACGATAAAGCTATGCGTACGCACGAAGGGTCCCGGGTGAAAAATTTAAGGGCTTTCATTTATGCATAAATTTCGGCTGAATTTTATGCAGAAAAATTTATGCCGAAACAATTTGTGCACAAAATGTGCAGAATTATGCGTATATAATTGTGCTAAACCTTTCTGCAGAATATATCTGTCAGAAGTTTTATACAGAATCGTTCATACTTTTTCTGCATAAAACATTGGTCCGGGCAGTTGTATCGAATTATGACAAATTCGACATATGATTTTCACCCGGGGTAAAACTTCAATTTTGATGGGCCTAATTTTAATTTATGCATCAAAAATAAGCCCACCTCTATTTTTGCCGCACACTTAAGCCGCAATGTCAAATTTTTTCCAGACAAAATTTCACACCTTCAAATCTCTTTACCCGTTCTAAATTATTTGTGTAAATTAAGAAACCAAAAAACCTGAATTCGGGGTTCCTAATTAATGCTAAAATTGCCTTTGTTCAAATTTTCAGGCGATTTTTTTGACATTCTAAATAATATGAACTATGCACATATTTTCTGCAGTTGTCGCAGTTATTAAAATTTTATTCAACGAAATTGGGCCCTATGTGTTTCCCTGATGTAAAATGTTCCTATGTATAACTGTACTCAAAAAACTCTCATCCGGACGTATCAAAAATCGCATTGCGAGCCATCCGTGCGAAACAGAAGTACAATCACACTTGCACGTAGTGGTGCAAGTACTTTCGTTATGG